TAATATTCTCTAAATATTAATTGTATATGTGTTAACCACCTCGTAATATAAAGTGATTCATTACACACCGTTGTCATTTATTACTGGACGATGATTGTCATTAAGAATTTTGCACGTTTTTCAGATGCACAAAATTTATTTTATTATTTACATGTCTAGAGTGCTAATCTTCTTACGCTTGACTACAAATTCGTTTGCCTTGAATTTGCTTTTCTGTTAAAAAAACTTCTTTTTAAATTCAACGTGCAATGATTTCAATTAGACGCAGAATAAAAAATAATATTTCTTAGTCAAAGCCTTATCGATTTGTAAAGATCATACTGTTTTGCAGTAGCTTCCTATCACATGACTTCCTTGTCATAATTTCAGCTCTTTTTGTCTCCAATGATTTTTTCATTTAGTCGAGTCGATTAGAATGTCTTTACTATTTAAATTCATGGAAGGAAGTTTAACCTAAAAATAACTCATGCTAGATTTATCTTTTAAGCACATGACACAGTTGTGGTGATAAATTTGTGGAATGTTTTGTTGTTGGATTATGCGACTTTTTATCTGATTATGTTTGTAACTTATGAATTGGAAAGCTAGTTTGGTATTTCTGGAGTGTGTTTTTTGAACATTCTGGTGCATTCCAGCATTCTCAATTTCTGGATAAAGAATTTGACGGTTTTCATGATAAATAATCCTAAATGGAAGAGTTTAAACATTAAAGTTAAGGAACCTTGCGAACAGTGCTATTAAGGAGGGTTCTAGCTAAACTATAAATCAGAGACACTCGGATACTGCATGATTCAGAGTATTATAATGCTAAATCAAAGAATAATCTTCTAAAATACGAAAGTAAAGTTTTTAAAAAAGAATTAAGAACCAAACCAGTTCTATTTGAAACACAATAATTACAATAATTAACCTATTAATGGGTTTCAAACTCATTTTTATGTGATCATTGCGTTTAAAAATAGCTAAGGAATAAAACTTTGTCATCAGTTTATCTTCTTGCTTCTTTTTCTGCCGGTAATTTCGATTAATTTTACTAACCACTTATCTTTTTCTATAAATAAACGAAAGTCATTCATGAATAATGCTATTCTATATCTTCTAAATGTAACTACGTAGTTGAAGTTAAAGAATTTTTCAATATAAAAGATTTTTTTATAGAAAATAAATCTTATTTAAAAGAATGATGAATAGCGGTAAACTCACTTACATTTTTTCTACTCTACGAAGCTATGTATATGTGGTTAACGTTCATAAAAAAACATTCTCAAAAGCTTGTTCCAACATATTTTTACTTTTTGTCTTATTTTCGTAAAGAATTGCAAGAGAAAAATGTTTACCGACCATGTCGATGTAGAGAAGACGAGAAACTAAAAGAATACAGTGGAACGAAAGTTTTGAAGGGTTGGTATGAAAGCGCATTTTAAGGTTTGTGTATTTTTGAATGAACCATTCATAAGAGAATCTTGCTGAGTTGAAATACTTAAGATTTAGCATGGAAAATGTCAAGCATCGATAAACAGTAAGCTTAGCTATCACTTTTGGTAGCTATAATACGGAAAAAGTGTGGCTAGGTTCAAAAAACTAGAACTAGATTCGAAAGATATAACAATTTACAGAGTAGAGTTGAATAAAATATAATTTAAAAGTTCAATCTATAAAAAACTAATACCGACAGTCTCAATGTCTAAAACCAAATCCACAAGAAACTAGCTTTAAACAAAGCATTGAAGTGAATAAATTATGATGAGAATTAAAGCAGAAAAGGTGGTAGATGAGAATGAATATTATCTTAATCTTTGTGTTTGTGTTAGAAAAAGACGTAATTTTTTCACACGTGAGACAAATCGAAAAGATGAGCTTAAAAGCACGTTTTCAATTATTTTATGGAGGACATGCAAAGAGAAGAATTTTTTGAAATGCAAGCAAAAGAAATCAAATTAAAAACCTTAATAAGTATCATCATGATGATAAGAACCGAACATGCTTAATACAAGGATATTTTTAGACATAAATGAATTAAGAATCAAATGTTCAGAGGATGAAAGTCATTTTTCCGAAATGGTTGAAGAAAAAGAGGAGTTTTTTTCTGTGGTTTATCGATTCTTTAACCATTATAAGTGTTTCATTTCATGAAAAGGCAATCTTCTACATCTGCTACGTTTTTTTCTTGCCATTCGCTACAAAACTTACTATTTATTTGTATCTCAATCTCTTCCATATTCTTTCGAGATTTGAAAGGGAGCAAATTTTCTTTTCTTCTTTTTTGAAGAGCCTAAAAAAGGAACAAGAAATCTGCCTTAAAAAAATTCTTTGTCACCGTTTTTAGCATGTTTTAGAGGATTTTGAGTTTTGTGTTATAAAAGTTTCATGTGTTCCTGTTAGCAATGGAACCGACATCTATAGAAAAGACAGGAATGGTTAGGATGGAAAATATTTCAAAAGGTAATTTAGAGTTCAAAACTGCTCAAAATAAGCTCCGTCATCACCTCTTCTTAACTTAATACAATTCCAAGACAAATACTAAATGTAAACAAACATCTATTGTGCTTTCAAAACATTCGCATTCATCAGATCCTTCGACTTAAAGTCTCCAAACAAATGTTTGCATACACATTCTTAATGTTTTTCTCTTCAATATGCTCTTGTAAACACATAAAAAAGTTCTCCCTTAACTATACACGCCAGAAAATGCTCTTTTGTCATTCACCTTAAACGATTTCTCTTCATATCTTCTGTACACAAGCTGGCAATATGGGCAAAAGATTATTTTGAATCGACCCAGGTCAAACATAAACAGATTGAATGATACTCGTAAAAATTATGATAATAAAAAAGATGTGCTTCTCCCTTTGCTTCCATTTCTGCCAAAAATATGCAAAACTTTTTCTCATCCCTTTTTTTTTGCGTATCGTATCATGTAAAGTCGATTGAGAAAAATTCTTGTTGTTGTTACAAAGATTATTTATATATTTCTGAGGTCAACATAAAAAAGATTAAAAGAAAGTCTTCCATTATATGGTCAATAAATTTTTGTAAATAAATTAATTGATGAAAGATTCTCATGTCTTATAAAAGTTTTTATTTATTTATTTTTAAACTTCATCAATATGTTTCTGTCTTGTTGAAGTTTTTGGATCGATAACTTAGTTGGCTAATGGAAAAATAGTTAATCAGTCCTTAATACTCTTCAGAAAGTTTTTTTTAAGGTTCTAATTAAGGAGAATTAATGAGAAATTTCAAAAGTCATTGTTCCGAGAAATGTTTGGGAAAAGTTGAAGACAAAACAATCAATAAGAAAACGTGTCTTTTGTATTTTTGATCCTTGCTGCTTTTCTAAGACGAAATAATTGAAAAGTTTTGTAAATTCTTGTGGATTTTAATTAAAATATTGAAAACAAATTTCGAGGTGGAGAAATATTTTTGGTTAATTTTTTTGAAATTTAAATTTTTAATTGCCGTTATAGGATTACAGTATTCTCAACATTTCCTTTAAATGTTCACATTTCCTCCCTCAACACAGAACAAATTTTCGAACTCGTGCTTTTAATTTGTAAAAGCTATCGCTATACATATTAATTAAACAGCCATAGAAGCAAAACTTTTAATGAAAAACAAAAAAAAAGTCTTCAAAGACATGAATAGAGGAAAATCAGTATGTAAGACGGAAATGGACATAAGTTTTAACAAATCGCGATATACGCACACAAAAGTACATAAAGGAGAAAGAGAAGGCGCAAAAACGAAACGTTTGCAGGCATGGCTTAGAATATTAATAAGTACAATTCGCATAAAGCCTTGCTCATTTCATTTTATTTCATATGGACGGACATTGAATGTTTTCCAAAAAAAAAAGAAAAATATATAACTAAACTAAACTCGTGTGAGAGAATAAATGGAGGGAAAATAATTCGCACAATAATTGAAACTATGTATGTTACATAGGTAGGTAACTTTTAAAAAGTTATATATAAGTACGGTTCTGCGATAGTGAATCTTAGATGTTTTAAAAGTATCAAGTGCTGTGTCGCAGCCTGAAACGATTAAGAAACAGTGCTGAACAGGCTATGTCCAAAAACTAGTCCTTAGTACATTTTAAAACCATATCTGTCATTATTCAGGTCACAAATATCAACAAATTCAAAATTCTATTTAATTATTACCAACAAACACTACTCGTCCACCTTTTCGCACTAATCAAAAGCTATAATTAAGATCTATGCGATAAAAACCATAAAATCATTGTTACTTCACATTTGAGTTTCCGCCCCTTTACTAAATCGTACATTACGAACGATATTAATGCCAATAATGTAAAATTACGTCGATGTAAGGAGAATTAATATATTATTCATTCAATAATATCCAGTCTTCTCCCAGATTTATCGTCGTTGCACTACAAAAATATTTTTCTCAATATCGAATGCTATTCCAGTTTTTAATAAATAAAAAAAAAACATATAAATATAAATAACTCGATTTGAAGGTCATTAACCACATGCCGCAAGATTGAGCGAAATTACACACACAATAACTGCGATTTTTTTTTTATTGAGTATTTGATTTAAAAACATGCATGCGAGAGATTCCTTTTATTTTATGAATTACAATGTTAATGTATTATGACACTAAGCTATCATGTTTACAGTTATTCGAGCCTAGTCGCTCTCTTTTTTCTCTACTATTTATTGAGCAGGTATGCACGGTTTTTAATGTTATTAACCTTCGCATTGCACAATTTTTATTAAGCGAAACATGAAATTCGAATCCATACGTGTGAATTGATTTACTTAAAAATGTATTTGTGCATAGGAAAAAAAAGTCGTTTGGCATAAAATGAGAGAAAAGAGCGAGAGACTAGTCATAATATGAATATGTATATTGTGCAAATATTATTAATACACATAGTCGCTCTACCAGCGGCATAGTCACGTGATTTACCAACATGATTCATTCGTTTATTTATGCGTTACTCAATTTTTTCTTCTTGTCTGTCATTTCAGGAGCAAATCGCGTAGCGTAGATCATGGTTTATCTGCGCCATTCGTAGATTTGGACTCATTACGTTCCAAAGTTGAAGGACGTTTCGAAAGCATTGATCGACTGTCTTCAAAAGGTAAATTTATGTTTTGTTTTTTTTTTTTTGGCAGACGCTTGAGCAGTTGTGTTTTAGGTGGATGATTTGGGTTTGTAAAGATGGAGAAATCACGAGCATAATTGAGATTAATTTAATGAGAATTGAAGAAGCTTGTTTTTGCTACTTTTTTGTGATTCTTGACGTGATTTGCTGGGGGTTATTTGTTGTTACTCTTGAATTATTTATAATAATTTTTTCGAGATGAATTTTCATCTCGTTAACCTGAAAATGATGTTTTTTGTCTGAATGTCAAAATGGCGGGATTTTGGTAGACATAACAGACCTATTGACTTAGCTAGAGTTTATGACTTAACAAGATGAATAGTTCCTTCTCTACATCCTCCTTAACCCCTTTTTAATGCTTAGAAAGTTATTGCCGATTGAAACTTAATCAATTGCTGTAAAGCTTTAAAAATAATTTATTTCAACTGAATAATTAGCATCCTTGATTTAATCCAAAATATGATTTCCCATAACAATTCTAACCACAACAGTTTGGTCATCCCCAACCGCACGCGGGGCTCTTCAAATTCCCATTATAATTAATTATGTATTTCCTTTTCCTTTTCATTCTTCTCATCTAATAACAATCGAGTAATAATCATTCTCAATTTTTTCCTTTCTATTTTCATTTTGAATGGTCCATTAATGCAGGTTCAATAACACCGATTCCAACATTACCGTATACAGTTAAAGATCGCGACACTTTAACATCAGTTGCTGCACGTTTTGATACCACACCTTCGGAATTAACTCAACTTAATCGATTAGGCAGCTCCTTTATTTATTCGGGACAAACATTACTTGTGCCTGACAAGTCGAAAATTAAGGATGATGATAATTCTAGTGAGACAAGCGGTGATACAGACATTTCAAAGGAAAAGAGTCGAAAAGGCTCGAATAATACTGACGATATTCCACAGGACGAAAAGGGTAAGTTTTCTTTATTGTCGAAAGCTTTTTGAAGGCCAAACGAGTGAAGTGAAAAGTGTTTCCATATTTATTGCCAGATTTTTTGAAATCGCAGATTGATTTTGTTCATTTTGTCTGATTCAGTTGAATAAGTGCCTAGAATAATTTTCTGGAAACTGGAATAAACTCCAGAAAATTCCAAGAATTCTGGAATAATTTTAAATTAAAAAATCAGTTAAAAATTTTTGCTTAATCAGATCCTGTTTACTTTTATGATAAATAAGCTCACAAAGACCAGCAATTCTATGCCAATCATCAAATTTCTTCACGTATGTTTTGTGTTTATTGAACAAAAGTTTTTTGCTTTGCGCAATCGCACGTACAAGTTTACTGTACAAGTTTCTTGTATCAGATCATATGCTCATCCAGTGACGTTTTAATCGTGTCTTCCGTGATATGAGTTATTAGATAACAGAAAATGATACTACTTCGTAATAAATTATCAAATAATTAATCAATGTCATCTAATTATTAAACAATAAACATAGCAATTAGTAATAACGGATTTTCAGTTTTTGAAATAATTTCTTGGAACACCACTGGAAAGTGAAAAAAAATGTAAATAAAATTTATTGTGCAAAAAAGGTATTTTCTCGAAATTTAATTAAATATACAGCTTGATACAGCTGGTTTCTTAAGAAATCTGACTTGTTCAGTAAACATAATCAACCTTGTGCTATATAATATTACAAAACATCTGATAAAAGTAGAATAATATAGGTAAAAACGTAAAAACAGTGATTTTCAAGGCTGCAGTTGCTGTGGAAAAAATTCCGACGTGTCTAATTTCTCCTTATCTACCTTAAATAAGTATTGATGTTTGAAAAATAGTATTTCTATGACTATAATGGCATAAAAGCTAATTGTTCACTATGAAATCAGTAGTGTTTTTGAAATCTGGTGGTAAAAAAAATCACAAGAAGCTTTCAGTCGAACTAAATCAGTGCTAATCATTTAATATTTTTTAGACCTTCTTGACAACCTGAGACCAACATCACCAAAACCTGGTCATGCAGAGCGTGTCGTTACACCAAATCAGTCAGAAGATGATCCCGTAGTAATTCAACGGTTCTTAAAGCTTAATGTTCGGCACATTACTGATGGACAAGGAGTTGTTGGTGGCGTTTTACTTGTCACTCCAAATGCTGTCATGTTTGATCCAAATGTCTCTGATACTTTAGTCATTGAACATGGTCCTGAAAGCTATGGAGTTATAGCACCTATGGAATTTATTGTTAATGCTGCCATATTTAATGATATTGCTCATATGCGAGTTGGAAGTGGTGAACATTCTAATCATAACTCAACCGAAAAGCCAGAAGTGTACTATCCAAAACCACCACCATGCAATAGATGCGATACGCATTCACCTGGCAAGGACTCGTTGCTTGTTAAAGACGAAACGTTTCCTGAATTAGGTGCTGGAAGTTCTGTTGATCAAGAGAGCAATTGCTCGACAGAACGTGATGATGGCGATGCATTTCCAAAAGCTTTTGATCGCGATCTTGTGACGCCAATTGAAAAAATTCATGCTGATTCTACAGAAAGTGCAGGCGGTCGTGGCTCATTGACAAATGAAAATGAGACAAAGAAAGACGAAAAGGATGATACAAAAACGGAGCAAGATGACGAGCTTGATGCGATAAAACACGAAGCAAACAGAAGAAAAAGTCTCCTTGACCAACATTGGGCCATACCGAAGAAAGATAGGTAAGCAAAGAACTGCAAAGATTTTTTCATTCATTCATTAACATAACCTGAGTCTTAACATATTTTAAGCTTTTAAATTTATTTATTCATTGTTATGTCGCTAACAAGATTATCCCAATTAACATTATTATAAGTGGCTTTGAATTGCGTCGCTTGTAGAGCTGAAAATTAGATTCACATTCTTTTGGAAAATCCAGATTTTGTTCTAATTAGCTTTTTGAGCTTTTAGTCAATTAGAAGCTACAGTTTTGCGTGTTTATTTTTGATCTTTTTGATTTATATAAATAAAATTTTTAACGACTTTCTAGAATTCAAATTTTAACGGTTTTGTAAAATTCAAATTCAGAAAAGCCGTTGAAAAGTTATTCAGCTCTGGGTATTTCCATGAGTAAACGAAACTAAAAAAAAACGACTTACAATTTTGCTCAACTTGGTATTTTCAAATTTACTTTGACCGTTATAACATAATTGAAATTATTCTTGTGAAATAAATAGTATATCGGAAATAATCATAAATTATAGTGTTTTAACAAGAAATTCGTATTTATATCTGTCATCAATCATTTTAAATATCAAATAACGTGAATAAAAGCCTAAAACATCTTAAATACAGTGAAACATTTAACGGTCTAAAAAGATTTGAATATTTTTATCTCACGTGTGTTTTGTAATAATCGGTTAAAAATTAACCGTTTGACGCAGTTTTTCTCAGTTTTCTCGTTTATCACAGCATATTATTAAGTAGAACTCACATCTATTTGAAGATAATTTAGTTTAGAATTACTTAAATTACTCAATCACTGGCTAAATCATGTAAATGAAGAGAATTTTCATGAACAAATTTCATATTTTCTGAAGATTTAACCGTTTGACAAGTTTTATTAAAAAAATTAATTAAAAACATATTTATGCTGTTAAGTTTTAATTGTCATAAAATCACTTCATATTAAGCTATAAGATAAGCTCATAAAATCGAGTTAAATGTTTTTAATTAAAGAGAATAACACTTTTAAAAAAAATTTTTTTTTTCGATTTTCCCACTCATGGATTTACCCTTTACAAATTATTTTAATTCATTTATTTTGCTTATTTATTTTGCATTTTATGTTTTGTTAATTTTTAAATTTTATTTCTTTTTGATTTTTCCATTATTTTAAATTCACTCTTCCTTGTATCGCATAAATTTATGTTGCTTTGTCACATCACATGTCATAAATCATTATTTGTTAAACTTATAAAAATTGAAAGACTGAGAACACAATGTGAATGTAGATCAGAGGATGGGGAGGATGAATACGAAAACGTATTAAAGGAAGAAGAATCCGAAGATAAAAAGACAGACAATGCTGAATTGGCAGCAGATGTTATTGAAGAAAATCAATTGACTCGAACATCATGTCATGATAGTGGAATTGATATAAGAGATGCTATACCGACAGTTCCTGTTGTTCAAACTAAAAAAGTAAGGGCTTGAAAGTTTTACCTTTTTTGTGAGATTTTAAATAAATATTTATATTCTTAACAGATTTATAGTGATGCAGACATTGTACTAAGCTCAGACTGGGTACCGCCATTGACAATAGCTCCCACATCAATATGCACAGATACAAAATCCATGTCTACATCATCATATAGTAACGATACAGTTTCAACAAACAGTGATGGACGAAAAAAGACGTCCAGTGTTAGCTTTAGTGTTGAAGATAATGAAAATTCTGGTGCTGAAAAGGGAACTGGAGAAGTTAAGAAGAATAAGGTGAGAGAACCGACACTAAAACTCTGCTTTAAGCTATAAAAATTTTCCGGCATTAATGAAATTTTAATTAATTAAAACAACAACAAAAAAGTTCGTTCATGAATATTTAATAACGATTATGTAAATTTATAGATGCTTAAACGCTTATCATATCCATTGTCGTGGGTGGAAGGTCTGACTGGCGAGCAAGGCAGCAAAGATAGCGATTCAGCGCCCACAACAAGTGATTCTAATCAAAGTGTATTTTCGAAAGTATTTTCAAGGTAATTAAGAACTTATGAATGACATAATTTTATCAATTTTTATTATCTGAATTCTGAATATCATGCGATTTAATGGATCCATGTCCATTTTCATACTTTCTTTTTGACCGAATCTGGTGTTAATTTTCATTTTTATGAATGCATTCACTTAACAATTCACGCATTGATTCTATTTACACACAAATTTGGTCCTTTTTGAATTTATTTACACAACACATAATCCAATACACATGAAATCCAAAACCTTTTTTCAACACAAATGTTTTTTGAGTCAAAATTTTAATCAAAACGATTTTAAAGCTCGCCCATCACACTGGTCTCCGAATTTGGAGGCAATTTGTTTTTGTCAAAAACTCCATCTGAAGAAAGTGGCGGATCTCCAGTACCGCCGTCAAATAATCAAACTCAACATCAAGATTCATTTAAAGAATTATCGGCAGGGTAAGCGAAAGAACTAAAGCTCATTTCCTTTAATTCTTTGTTGTCCAGCACCAAAAAACTGAAGTTTCTTTTTTCTTATGATTTCTTTGTTGTTTTTCTGCCCCTATTTTGATTTATTTCGTAATGCACCTGACGTTTTATTAAGGATTTATAGTGAAAAATATGTGTGTATATTTATGTAACAGCTGATGCTATAGCCTTCTGTATTATTATTATTATTGTTCTTCTTCATCTTCCTTGTTCATTTGGCAGAATATGAGTTTATTTGATGATCTGTGTATTATTCTAGTCATAGAAATCAATTAGAGCAGCAAAAACTGAGAAACTAGTCTCTGTTCAAAAATAACTGTTGTTTAAAATTTAAATTAGATCATGGAATGATCTAGAAATTTTCCAAATTTCTGGAAACTGTTACATTTTTAAAGAATTATTTCCAATAATATTGAAAGTCTTCCATTGGAATTTTCAAAATTATTAATAACGGATTTTCCAAAATAACTTTTGGTTGATAAAACTGATAATTTTAAAAATTAGCTAGGCTACCATTTTCCTTGATAAACAAGATTTTTTTGTGAGACTTAGTATCAATATAAATGCACAAAAAAAATTCTACTGCATTCTTTTTCAAGCATCATAATTCCTCGACTATTCAAACAGTTTAAAACTTAAGAACAGGTTGTTCAACTATAATTTTCCAACAAAGCTCCATTCAATAACTTTTATCACGATTGAAAGTTTAAATTTTATTCATACTTTTTTAAAATAGAACGATACGAAGATAAATATATGCAAGAACATACTTTATAATATTATAATTTCATAGCTAGATGTTGTGTTCAATTTCACCACGCGAAGCTAAGCAAAAAAACTTTTTCAAAATATATATATCGCTTGTCACTTTAAGACTATTATTTAATAAATAATGATTAATCTTATTTATGAGTATCGTTGTACAAATGTTATCAAAATTATTCTGAGAAATTGGGAATTATCAAACATTTCTTCTCATTTCAGACGATCATCAATTGGAACTTTTATACGATCTCATCCATCATCGGACAGTTCAGCAACATCATCGCAATCAAACAAACCTCAAAAGCCTCAAGCTCCGAAATTAGACTATAGATCAATGGTGTCAATCGATGATATGCCAGCATTATTTGTAAGCTTTGATAGTAAGTATTCTAAAGTTTATTATATCCAAGTTCTTTCTGTCTCTACGTTATTTTTGTTATTAGATTTTTTTTCTCGTTCAATTCTTGAATTGTTTCCTGAAAAATTCTTATTTAAGAATGTCAAAAATTTTTTGATTAATTTCCTTATTGAAGATCCATAAAGTTTATAGATAATGTTCAATACATCTTCAAGGAAATGACTTAAAAAAAAAGTTCAACAAATTTTTCTCGTTAGATGTTAGCAAAAGTTTTAGTTCATGAAAAATGAGAATTAGATGATCTAGGAAATTCACAAGCGAATAAAAGTTTCTCGTTTGATGGAAAATGTTTCGTATTTAAAGTGCATTTTTGCAGAACGAGTTGGAAATTCAACTTTATTTTGAGTTTTTATTAAATTATTCAGTTCTACAAATTGAAGGATTTATTGATGAATTCTTGCCACTTTTTTGTGTAAGTTTAAGTATTCAAAGTTGAAAATTTGTTATTAAATGATGAATAATTGAAGAAAAACTTTTTGAGTTGAGAAAATATTTAAAGGATTCGTGTCTTGGATTTCAAAAATTTATCCAAGACGCAAACTGAGAAAGTCTGAAAATGCATTTTAAATGTACATTTCCGGGTCCTAGTTTACGTTAAAAGCACATTAAAATTCCACAACACTTTGGCATGGCAAAAACCCGTTCTAATTAATTTCAGTTTCTGTTGATTTTAAGTTTTTCTCTTATCTAAATTAACAAGACAAAATTAAGGCTTTAGCAGCCTGCATGGCACAGGCACATTTTCTGTTAGAAATTTCTTTTTTATATTTATATTTCCCATTATAAAATAATGTTTAAAAATTTTATTGTTAACAAAAGCAAGACAAATCATGATAAGACATAAGTACACATAACTCAGAATAAATAATATGACTCAAAAAAATTCTAGTGAGGGCACCGTTGTTTCCACAACTCGAAAATCTTGGTAGGTGTTCAACATTTTCATAAAATTACATATTTTATACTTTATTATACATCTTTAAAGTATTTCAACATAATTGGTGTCACATCACATAGTGTAATTTTTTTTTAATTTTCATTTGTCCTTATTATAATTTTTCATTGTAATGAACCTGGTTTCTCATTTTGGATTACTTGCCTTGCTTGATACTTTCAGAATATTTTCACTTCCGAAAAGGTTTTTGCAACCTTAATTGATAAAAAAAAGATTTTTAGAGTTCAGTCTAAATCAGATCATTTTTAAACGGCTCCTTATGAGAAACCTGCATTTATTCCTGCTTTTTGATATTTCCCTTTTAATTTTGTGTGAATTTTTAAATTTTTTCCTATCAAACTTCAGTTCCATAATCATTTTATTCACAGTAAAATAAATGAATTAAACTTTCGTTCCTAGTAATTTCTTCATTTTTATCTTTTGTGTCACGTCCATTCAGTAATTTTATTAATATCTTAATTTGGTGTCTACATACTCTACACAAACTATCTCAAATGCATGAATTAATTTAACTGTTGAAAATGAATTAATAATTCGTGATTTGAATGCTTTAACATTAACACACAACACTGACGGTTTGCTTATCACTCAAAATGCACTGTGGCATGAATTAATGCATCATTTGCATTGCACAAGACAGTCTGTCGCTGATTAAGTTTTGCTAATTAGTATTTTCGAAGTTTGTGTTTTTAAAAAGAAGCACATTTGTTCTGAACACACGTCACTCAATTGTTTGTTTATGTATATGGAATTATATTATTCAGTCGTGAACTGTTTAGGTTTATTACACCAAAAAAATATGAAATGATTTTATTTTTATGATGGATTGAGATGACGCAAGAAGCTTTGGCTTTTTTAATGCACGATGTTTGAGCTTTTTTTTTTATTGTTATGTTATAATGAAATGTTTTGTATGCAAATTTGCTTATAAATCACATAAAATATATTTATTGATTGAGTATGAAATTATGGGGGATATTAAAAAATTATGTTTGAGGATTTTTAAGAGTTAAGATTTGAGTTGATCCTGATTGGAACAAGTTTAATAGATTTTTGGTATTTTCTTGTCAAAATTCAGCAGTAAGTTCAACATCAAAGTCCAACCGATGCCTTAAACAGCCATTTTGAGCCAAATCGAATCAATTTAATTTTAACTCCGAAATTCTCAGTTAATCAAATGCCAATAAAGCCACTAATTAAGGTTAAACTTACTAAATTCTGCAATTTTGAATTTAATTCTCGTCTCTAAAACAAATAGAACTTATACCACGACCAGCACGAGCATGTCAAGATCCACCGATGTATTTAAGATTACGAATGGGACGTCCAGCTGGAAAACCATCACCGCTACCCACAACAGTAATGTCGTATGGCAAGAATAAGCTACGTCCTGAATATTGGTTTAGTATTCCTAAGAATAAGTAAGTTTGGATGACTTTTAAGCATCGCCATAAACTAACATGCTGTTTACTATTGTGTAGGGTTGACGAACTTTATAGATTCATTGGTGCTTGGGTTCCACAGCTCTATGGTGAATTGGACGAAGAAGCAATAAAGGCACGCGGATTTGAGCTAATTCAGCATGATACTGAATGGACGAATAACAGAACGTCCAGCAAGGTAAAATACATTACATACAGATCGTTAAAATGCAAAACATTTGAGGCTTCATGTGAATTTTTCTGACATTTTTCTCTTCTTTTGTATTTTGTAATGATTAGGATGGACTCGACATTGGCGAAGAGATTGGTGAATATACTCGCGAATCGTGGGAGGTGAGTTGATTCTATTAAAGTTTGGTTTGAAACGATTTATGAAGTGAATTATTCCCCCCTTCTTATTAAAGCCTTTTTAAAAATGATCCTTGATCCAAAAGTGTTAAATATTAAGGTTTATTGTGAAAATTTTGGAAGGTCGATTATTTTAAGTGTTTAAATAATAATTTAAAGTTTAAAGTAGGGCCAGGATTTACTTTTTATGGCTACTCTGGGCTTCTTCTTACCCTAACTTAGCAACTTAAATAAGCAACAAAGTATACTCCTAAGGCAACCTAGAACATTCTAAGAGTATGCTATGGAAATATAGGTTGACCGTAGGTACTTTGGTTGATTTTAGTGCATCATAAATTGCTAGGAAAGGGTAGAAGGATATCCCGGGTAGCCATAGAAACAAGCCTCTGATCTTAATCAATGATTCCAATCAAAACTAAGAAAAAGATCAAATTTTTAAAATTGATAGATCAAAATTGAATTTAAACAAAATTTTCACAATAAACCCAAAAAACCAAAATCCGAAAAAAAGAATATTTTTCTCTAAAAGTGTGTTTTTCTTATTTCATTTTCTTTATTATCTTTCTAATTTTCTCTTACGAAATAATAAATGAATTTATTTAATTAATAAATCCGTTACGTAACTCAGCTGTTAAAGGCTCCTTTCGTAAAAACGTACAATATAATCAAAACTCAAGCTGGAAATGAATTAGAAGAGGTTAGAGACTAACAAAAATATTGAAGACAACAAAAAAAGATTAAAACTTATTTTCATAGAATTTCAACAAGTTAACACTCCTATTAGAACCTAGTAGATGATCAAAATGAACGTTTTATGATTTCAATTAATTAACTTTATTCTTTTGATTCCGTTTTGAACTTTGTTGGATGTTAGATGACAAAAAAAAAGTTTATTTTAAATTAAAATGTTGGCTTCTTTTATGAGCTTCTTATTTCTTTCTTTATTTTCCATTTCTTATGTCTTTTGCTACTTGTGATGTAAAATTTCTTCTGTAAGAATTTCTCGTTTAGAAAATTTTGCATTTCAACTGCACCACATTATTAAATTTATGATTTGAGAAATTTTAAGAAAAAAAAAAACACATTTATGGAACAATTAGATGTAAATGACATTAGAAAATGTAAATCTTAATTATTTTTTTTTTTGTCTTAGAGAAATTTATGATTTGGGAAGTTGATTTAGAAGTTTTTGATATGATACAAGATTGATGGGATTGTTGATGTCGAGATTATTTGTTGAAAATGTAAAGTTTTGTGGATGTGGATGGATCCGAAGTAAGGTTGTGAAGTCATGTTAAATTTTGTGAGAGGATTGACTTTAAAAACTCACAATGAGAGCTACACTAAGAGCTTTAAGAAACGGGGATTCTAAAATATTTAATAAAGGTTAACCCGGTTAACCTATAAAGTATAATTAAGCTTTATACTTCGGATTTTCTTAAAATAATTGTTATTGGCATTTGCCCAGCTCTAAAATTGTAGATTAATTGAATCAGTGACTTAAGCATTTGATTCTGAATCCTTAATAGATTTGAAGTTCATTTCTTATTCATGAACAATATTACAAATCATTTATAAACCTATTTTGAAAATTTAAACTTTTTAAAAGTAAAAATATCAATTTCTGAAATTTTTTGAGCAACTCTCAAACTTTAAAATAATTTTTCTGTGTCCTACACAAATTCATCATCTTGACAGATTGCTGTATGAACTTCTACACTTTTTCGACTAAGAACATCCACTCATCATCAACATCTTCTCTTTGTTGGATCTTTTATCTTTTGTTTATAATTTTAAAAAAAATGTTAATTTATGCAAGTTAAATATTCATTTATTCAAAATTCAAAATTGATAAAATAACTTTTTAGTTCCTTTACATTCCTCATTTAAGTTTTTTTTTTTGATTATGTTTAGTTGAAATGACTGTTGACTGCACCAATAGAGCGTTAATAGATGAAGTTTATTTTTGTAATAATCTCTATCCTATCTGATATATTTGCTTAAATATACACGAACTTCTTCAACCCTTGACTTTACAGATCCAAAAAAACATTATAAACAGAAAAATATATTTTCAATTCAATTAAAGTCTTTCCCAGCTAAAATATATCGATAATAACAAAATATTGAATGCTTTATGTCTACACTGCACCATACATATGTATATGATAAACTTTTGCACCGCTAAAAAAAGCTTTTATTTTCTAATAAAATACTCACATAAAAATTAATGTAATATGTTATATTGTACCAACATACAAACTGATGCTGTATAAACCCATACATTATTGAAAAACTCTCAGAACTGATCCATAAACACATGATGAGAAATATAATTGAGAGAAATACTTGTTATTTTTTTTTTTTGTTGTTGTTGCTGGTTCTCGTCTTGCAGAGGAGAGCAAAAAACAAAAAATGTAAAAAACCGATTGTGCACAACTCAGATTCTATTTATAAACACGTTTATTTATTTAAGTGCGTTCTTGTTCGATACGAAACTTACTTAAAAAGATATAAAAATTAAGTTTTACGAGATTTCATGCAGTTAATTAATTAAATAATAAGTGCGTTTAAGTCATAAAGTGCGGAATTCATAAGAAAATTTCTTGAATTCACTGTAAATTATTACAAGAACATCAAGAAGACATTGTTTGAATTCCAAGAAGATCATTTTAAAGAGAACGACTAATAAGTTAATAAACTTCAAAACTTGTTAAGCGACAGATTTTTGAAATGGTCGATGATATTAATAGCTTTGAGGTAAATAAAAATAGTCTTTTGTGAGTAAAACATTTTTATGCGCATTTTTGAAGCCGATAAGTGCAAATATTTTTTTTTTTGCTTTTGAGAGCCTTGAAATTTCGTAATAACCACGAGCTAACCGCAAGTGACAATATACAAAAACTAGTCGAATTGTCGTCAATCATGAAATTAAAGTTTTCATTACGTTTGCAAACATTTTATAAAATAAGCAGAAAATTTAAAAAACTTAACGGTTGAAAAGAATTCAATTTCGTAGTTGCGTACCCCTCGACCCACCTCAAAAAGTTTTTCGGAAATTAAATGCCTTTAAAATATTTATAATGAACAAATTTAAATAGAATTCGATTCAAAAAAGTGGCATCGATCTACAGCATATCGCCAAAAGTTAATTAATCCCCTGCATTCTCGAATAATTGACAAACTAAATGATTAACATTAAATGACCGTGTCTAAATACATTAAAAGCACATGGCTTCGTCTACCTTATTTATAAAATTAAATTGACAAGAAGTCTACGTTTAATTTTAAGCAGTACGCGTTGTACTGAAAGAAATAAAATATATAAAATTTAAAAAAAAAATAAAAACGAAAACAAAATGTTTTTTTTTTTTTTATTTGAATAGTCGCAAAACGTTCACAAGGCAGTCGTTAGTCAAACACTATCGACTGTTTGAGCCGCGAACATATGAATTTGTACGAAATAAGTTAAAATATAGTTTTCGTAGCGTGTATTGTAAATATCTAAGTTTCTCTGTATTCACTTATTAAAAATAATTTCTGTGTTTGATTAAAAGAAGAAGTGAGAAGAGGAGGAAAAAAATATTGTTTTTATTAAAATAAGTCAATCTTCTGTTAGTATCGTCTGTGAGCTCTACTGTGAGGAACAAAAATGAAAATGCGCATAATTAATTAATTAACGAAGGATAGTGAAGAAAATTTTTTTATAAGACAATCAAGTGCACTTTTTGCAGTCATAAGCGTCCAGTTGCGAAGTTATTTAAGTGATAAGAGACATAAAATAATTGAAGCAAGTACAAAAACCGGCTTGACATTCTTAAGTGTATAAAAAGATATTTTTTAAAAATTTATTCAGCATGTCTAAATCAAAACTACAGAAATTTTCAAAGTTTATTAAGACAAAGGTAAATTAATGTAATTACATTGAGAGACTATCTTGTTATATGCAAAATTATAAGGGAAAAAAACTTAAAAATACGCAATTAAATGTAAATTGACGATAATGATAATTTTTGTGTTCCAATTGTTATTTATGTGAATATTTCGTACTCAAAAAGTTCTCATCGAGATGTCTACACTTCATCATACATGAAATTGACATGAATGAATGAAGGAGAAATAAACAGTAAAGAATGGAAAATCATAGTCATTAAATAACAATGTTATTTATCATTTAATAATAACGAGGAGATATGCGATTATCATATCAACCATGTAATTTACTTGTTAACAATGCAAACCAGCATATTGGCTTGTTAAGCCACGCGTTAGTGCTGAAGAGATGTTTCTTTAAAACCAAACAAATGCTTTTGAGGAGTTGTAAGGTTTCACATTCAGAAAAACCGTTATACTTATATATTAAAATCCAGTGTAGCCACTAGCTAATTCAGATGTGTCAACAAAACTGTCCTCAAAAAATAAAAACATGAAGTAAATTTTGAACAAAAGTCAATCTCTCATTTTCATTTCTTTGTCTTAAAGAAGATGTTGTTGAGGTGTAATTACCATGACAAAAAGAATCATTGAATATTAATCATCATTTGCATACTCAAGTGCATATAAAGTGATTGCTGGTCATGTTTGACGAGCTGAGTAATATTAGGGTGAGAATATGTGAATAAATTAAGCTTGGTTTATTAATATGACAAGATAAGATGATTATTTTGTGAGTTTAATGACTTTTCTGATATTAAGAATTTAACGGTTTTTTAATAATTTGAAACTTAATCTTGGAAGGGACGAACTATTTACTGGAATTTCCAGTGGAATGTTTATATTTTGAGTGAAAGAAATTCTTAAAAAAATTTAAAACTGAAATTAATTTATTTAACGTAGATTTTATTGAGTTAACGCATCATAAAGGTAAAATTACAAATACATTAAGTTCCTAGAATAAAAAATAAAATCCGTTTGTCATGATAAATAGCTTAATTAAGTGGATTAAGAAAATTTTAAAATGGAATTTGGACAAAAATGTGAATTAA